CCGCCCAGGACGACGGCCCCGGCGGCTGCGGGAGGCGCGGCCCGGGAGCGCCGGCAGGTGGGGCGCCCGCTGGAGCCGGGCGGGGCCCTTCTTAGGCCCCGGGAGCGTCATCTCGCCGGGGTTTGCTCCCTTCCCATGGGCTGGGGCGGCGGAGGGTGGGAAAGACGCAAGTCTGCCACCAAAGCCAAACCAAACTGGTTTAATCTTGAAACAAAACCCAGTTGTTTGTCCACACGTTCAAGAGCAGTGGTGTCCCGTACCTTCTCCATGTCCTTAGCTCCGTTTTTTCTTAACCGTGACCTTTTGTCCCCCTCCCCAAATCGCTTACAGAGGTAGCACGGCATCAGTATGAGCTGGTCTCCTTCTCTGCCAACCCAGACATGCGGAGCCTGGGAAATGAAAGAACGACTCGGGACAGGGGGCTTTGGAAACGTCATCCGATGGCACAATCAGGTAGGGGCTGTGTGCGGCCTGGGAAGAGGCGGAGGACAGGCCCCCTCGCCCTGCCTCTGCCCCCTCTGTTCTCACTGGGTGAAGGGGCTCACGTGCGGCTGGGAAGGGGGCTTCAGGACTGCAAAGCCGACTCCCGTTAGTGGTGTCCAAACTTTACTGACTATGACACCCAGATAAATAGTAAAAAAAATGTTAAGCTCTCAGCACCAATTATATATACTTGAAATTGTATACCTATGTTAGCAGTAGAATATCACGTACTGATATATTATGTACTGATAAATATATGTTATAAAACATACAAAAATAGAAAAAATTAAAGGATGAGAATAATGAAATATTTTAAATACTTTGAAAATTAATTTAAAATACTTTTAAATGTTTTCTAATTATGGTATGTTCCCAGTGTTGTTTGCAATGCTGCACAGCACAAAATACACACATCTGCATGAAAGTGAGAATTACTATTAATAATGGAAATCCATATTCCAAATAATTTTTATAATTCAAATTATTCAGACTGATTTATTTTTGCATCTCACTAGTTCTTCATGTTTCTGAGCCTAATGTACGTGATGTGAGTTCCTCACACTGGAGGTGTCAGTTCTCCCATACTGCTGTTTGTTTGTGTCAGTTCTCCTATATGTCCTGAAATTCTCTGCAAGAATCTCTATGAGCAGGATGATGCAGGAGGCAACATTGCTG